CATATCTGTACATTTATGAAACAAAAAATATCTATTTTGAATCTAGACTATCTTAATAGTGCGATTTAACAAAATCCACACAATTTTCTGTGTTATCGATCGATAGCCTATATGATAATATGAACAATCATCGGCGACAACGCGCGAGATCTAAACGCTGAATTATTTATAATCTTGCATCAAGATGTGTATCATTTATATAACAACGGAAATATATACACCGCTAAGAAAAACATCGCTGATTCTATATTTACATAAAAATACAAGTATAATCGAGCGAATTCCGACGTTAGATATGAAAAATGATTTCATAATAAAAATGTAAACATCAAACTGCTTTAGGCCCAGGCTAACAGAAATACATATTTTAGTACTTATAATAATCCTCAATATACGACTATATAACTATGTACTTTATAATAATTGAAGAATTTGCGTTTGTTGCCAGTTAAAGAAAGTAGAAAAATTATTAGGCAGAATAAATTCGTACTCACAGATAAACATTCATATGTTTCCCAAACATCATACTCTTAACCTCTAAGATATTTAAGGGCTTATCAACCACTTTTTTACAAAATCTTTAGAAAGAACAAAAATCATAGAGTAAAAAACTTATTGTCATGAAAAAATATGGTTTTTTAAAGCTATATTATATAAAATACCATAGACTACAGATGTTATACAACGTGACATGATGTGACGTGACGTGTCATCAGCGTGACAATGCTCTGCGAACGACACGCTGAATCATTTATTAGAGCACCGCAAGTCAACGCCGGGGGCTGTGCCAATAAACGGCTACATAAAAAAAGCCTTCAGGATATATTGTCCCTTTTGAAATCTAGTGCAGCAAATAAAAAAATATTTGTGCATCGAGATATCAAAATACCAAAGTAAAAGTACCAAAATTTTATTACGAATTAAGTATGGAACGTTCAAAATAATAACTTTATTACAAGTATTCTATGTGTACTTATTAACAAGTTAATGTATACAACATTTAATTAAATAATAATATATTATAGCAATAGGCAATAAAATTTGATACAAGTCTCAGACCAAGAACTAGAAACGTTTTCTTTGAACAGTTGATTACTTATAAAGAAGTGGCATCTTTAAACAGTGGGTTATACTAGGAAATAGAAACTTAGTAGTAAGCATTTTTATGCCGCCCATTAAGTCTATCATAATATTTTGACCAATTTCAAAAACGAGGACACAATTATTGGTACAAATAATTAATAATTTTTTTTATTTTGGCTATGAACAATTTTGGCTATGAAATATTTTTTTTAATATGTAAATTACAAGAAATGAACCTACTACTAAAGATGAAACAAAATGTTTTAAAGTGAAGTCGGTGTAGATAAGTTTTTAATTAAAAAACAATTATTTATTCTGTATTTAATTAATTTAGATATGTGGTTGGTTAATTAATTTAGATATGGGCTTGGTTCATACAACATTAGTATTCAAATGAATAATGAAACAAAATAACGATATGAAAAAATATGTAGAAGGAAAGTTTTACATTGAAATACTTCTTTTTAAACGTTTTAAGGATGTTTGATACACATATGATTTTGTACACTGAAGTAGAAATAAATCAACAGTTTGCCAATCGTCAATCTTATTACAAGCTTTTATTTAGTATCACCTGTTCCGGGATTTCCTGAGAAGAATACGAATGAAATAAACTTTTATATCATATAAATTGTGTAATGTAATAAATTTTTGGGTTTGATTTAATTTAAAGTATTTTCTTCCTTCGCAAATAAGTCTGTCTGTCTGTCTGTTACCGCATTACAGAAAAACCACTGGAGGGATTTTGATGAAATTTTGTATCGTGACAGCTGGTTATCAGAGTCAACATATAGGATACTTTTTAACGCGGGAAAATATCTTATTTCTGAGAAAAATACAAAAACTGCATTGTAAGAGTATACTAATATGTAAAACATAAGAACTTGGTTTTTGGTCAACTGAACGCGGGCAGAGCCGCGGGCAATGCTAGTTATATGATAAAAATAATTATTTAATGCATTTTTATATAATGAATACATAGTGTTACGTAACAAAACAGCGGTACAAAGTACACAAGTATGAATACCTCAAATGAGCCATTATGCAAATAGGCTTCTCGAGACAGGCCCAAAATATTCCTTTTTTTGTTTCACCTGAAAAATTGAAGATTCCGCTGCGGCCGCGTATCAAATAACTTAGCCTTTGTTATGGTAATGTAGCGGAATTATCTTTTCTGTGTGTAATCTGGATATAAAAGTTGTTAAAGAGTTTTTATGTTCGTATCTACTGAAATCTATGTACATATAATCACACTTTACTGTTATTTAAATTTGTGGTTTTAATTATACTGCTTTATTTTCGTGTTTTTATTATTGTAGGTTTAAATAAGTTTTATTACATTCGAAAGGTTTTTTATAATATAGGTAGTAGTAAAAAAACCTTCTAACAATGTAACATTTTCTTTAAGAATTACGTCACCGTTTATTAATATATCTTTATAATTTGGTTATAAAATATTTTCACTTATTATCCTAAATGTTAACATCAGAGTTTCATTATACTGCTTGAATGCTGCTGCAAAATCGAATTTCTACTCGAACGAGTTTGGGAATCTTTGAACCCTTTGAGAATGTCCGCGACTTCGCGATAGATCAAACGAAATTACTTTGCTATATAGTTCGTAGATACTATGCGCTGAGTGCTGACAGATTAAAAACTTCACCAGATGTATAATTTTATGAAAGAAACAAATGATTTATTAGAGAGAAGTTTGTTATCCTAAAAATTGCAAAAGTATTTTATATGGCATAACAATACAAATAAACATTTAACCTCTTAGTTAAATAGTTAATATGACTGCACTAGGTAAAATCTTATTGGCATATAAAACACTAGTGGCTCACCCTCGCTTCGTTTCTGTTCGCCTCTAGAAAACGAAAACCGAATCAATCCCACGGGAACCGTACTTTTTTCCGGGATAAAAAGCGTATGTGCTATTCCATATTATAAACTATCTCTGTGCCAAATTTCAACCAGATCCGTTCAGCCGTTCTGGCGTGATTGAGTAACAAACATCTAAACTCTCACATTTATAATATTAGTAAGATTCTATTTACATGCAAGTATATTTACTGAGCGTTATTTTATAAGAAACTAAAACGAAACGATCCAGTAGTAATAATAGAATTGAAAACTGAAACTTCCCGTACCTATATTTTAAATGACGATTTAATCGAGATTACTCAGTAAAATCTCAGCGTAAACACAGCTTAGCAACAGATAAAAGAAATACACGTCACAATAAAATAACATGCACATATTTTTTTGTTTATTGTCATAACAAAGATTGACATAATAATAAAATTGTCACTCGAGAACAAGGAAAAACAGTCTCACTGAATCAATAGTTTAAAAGGCCAAACGAGATAACGTTTTTGGCAAGATATCAAGAAATAAATTGGCAGTATATGATACTACAGGTAATATTACATAGTTGAGTTATTATAAAAAAAAACTCAGATCAAAATATCAAAAGGTGCGATACAATTACCGAATTACAGTACGGGTGCCGTTTTATTGTTGGAAAGTTCCCTTGAGAGTGTTCGGCTGTGATTAAATTTATATAAAAATTTGGAAATCTTGTCGGGCTGGATATGTCCCTACGAGGAAGGTTACAAGTTAGATGTATATGCTACTTCTTAACGTTGTAATGGCTGTGAACGGATTTGACTGATAGCATGGAAAAGGCCTATTTTCCGAATTAGAGCCGAGTAGAGCCGCGAGTAACAACTAGTTAGCGATAAATATATTTGTCGCGGTCTGGTGTGTACGTCCGTTTATGTTTCACAGACCCTTGTCAAAAGGCAATCTAGTGGGGATTGTGTGTAGCATTGTTTATTTAACAAAAACTAACTCACTACATTTACCTACACGAATGTATTATTATTAAAAGATATTTTGAATAAAACGAACAATTTATTCACCGGAAGTCGGTTAAAGACCAGAAATCTCCACTTTGCCTTGATTCAGGCGAAATGTTAAAGATATTTTAAGACATAATGCGCGTCGAGGCCGGCATTAAAGCAGATTTATTATGCAGTTTCCATTATTTCACTTTATTCGGGCGAGATGCGATGATACGGGAGTGGGGGATCGCTTTGAGCCGCGTGCACAAGGCGTCGATTAACTTATTTACTATTCACAAGCATTTGCCATTTTTTATTAATTATTTACTTTAATCATAATCAAAAGGTTTTTTATAAATATTTTATTAATATAACCTATAATAAATAAATTAATTGGTTTTTATATGGGGCCGTAAAAAGTCCTTCTTTTATTATTGTAACTTAACAAATAATGTATTTGAATAAAATATATACATATGTTCGAGTACTTGATAAAAATCAGGTTACTATCAATTATATTGCAAAAACTTCACAATGCAGTCTAGACTAGAATAATTATAGTACGTACATAAGGTTGAAACGTAATTACAAATAAAAAACCAGAAACGAAGTTAATATAATAATTTTATATCGTAAGATAACGAACAAATCACAGTACTTATCTATCTCCAACAGTACACTATATTACTACGGTGAGCACTGAGCACTATACAATTTAATAGTATAATTAAATTTAATTACTTGATCACTGCGGAATGAACCTGTTAATATTTTTCCATAGACATAACAAAATTAAAAAAAAAACATCCTGCACATGTTAACTTCCATCTAAATCCATTCAACGATTTACGTCATCAAACTTCATCACTACTATTAAAGATGCGAATTTTTTTATGTGTGTACGTTTATTACTCCTTTACGCTGTAACGGCTGAACGGATTTGGAGGAAATTAAGTAGGTACACGGATAGACCATGACCTGGAGTGTTACTCCACTCCTACGTTAGGCACTTAGGGATCTAACCAAACGAAGAGAGTGTAAATGGCTAGTATATACAATAAAAATGCTTACATGGAGCAGGACTTGGTGGTTCGGCACAAATTCCGATGGACTTGCTTGGGTCGTCGAGTAGCGTCTGCGCGAGCCGGTAGTCGCCGAGTTTGATTTGGATCTGTTGGCTCACGCGATCTCTATTGCCAGTCACCTGAAAATATTAATCGAATTAGAATTTGAGACAAATTTTCTATATCCTACATTTTGTATATAAAAGTTCTTTAGTATAAAAAAGAAAAAACTTAAAAAATTATTCCATAATATTTCCTATGCAATTTACATAATATGTAATTTGCATCTATTGCAAAAGACAATTATTTCTAAAAGTAAAAGTTGAGGTGTCGTATTGACTAATTCATACACCCAACACTCTATCAAGGCCGTGCAAAGATAGAATAGGAACCAGTCCTAAATAAATTCGCTCAATGTCACTTAGTGCGTTTAAACGAACAGACTGTATGTTTAATATTTTCGAGTTGTCTGACGTGTTCACGTAGACAAAATCATAATAGAGTAAAACTGTGGTCGCGTAGGCGTCTCTTTCCAGTCACAACCATGGTCGACTGAGACCAACTGTTATAAAGCATTTCATATAACCTAACTATACCTATAAAATAAATGCTTGGTCGCTACGACCATGCTCTCGAACATGGTCGCCCAGTGCGTGTGGGCTATGAAATATGTCACAACATATTAGTCAGAATCGAAGTCAAAATTACTGAAGTGAATATGGGTTTTTACTATAAATAAATCTAGTTTATCATAACAAGTTAGACCACCCTGGGCGACCTATCTTCACTCTAGATAAACGTACTCACAGTTCTGGTTCCGATCTGAGACCATTACAATGTTTCTTAGTGGTTATCTTTTACAAATTTTGTATTTTAAAATGAACTTGTTGAAAAATCAAAACAGACAATTCATTATTATCGTTTATTCAAAGTTTTTAGGATAGTATTTATAAACGTAACAATATTTCATTTTATACGTAATCAAGTGTTATATAAAATTGTTATCTTGTTATTTTTGGAATACGTCAAGTTGGTAAATAAAAAACATCGAATTTAATATTACAATTTTAGCACACAATATCTGCAATAACAACTTCCGTCGGTAAACTCCAAATTGTTGTATTTTAAAATTATTAACTTTGGAGCTTTATCGTAATCACAGGAAGTATTTTATTTAAATTTAGCTACAATCGCATGTTATAAAGTTACACAACTTTAATCATTGTGCCTAAATGACCTTCGAATATAATGTAAATAAAACCTATAACTTTAAATGTGTCATGTTAGACCTTGAAACTTGTATTATAATCAATTCATTCAAATCATTGATTATCTCTTGGCAGATTCTTAAGCGATATATCAAACGGTTAAAAAATTATTATTACTAACAAAATAAAAAAAACATACAAACTTCCCATGTTAGTAAATAATCTCGTAAAGCCGATTTCTAAACACATACATCATATGTACGTATCAGACTAACAAAAAATCTACTAACAAAAAAATGTTATATCGTTTTTATTAACATGAATCTCAAAGTGTAAGATTTACCTAAGTACTTAAGTATAAGAACCTGATTTTTTTTCGGATAAAAATATAACAATCGCGTAATGGGAAGAGACACTCATATAAATAATCTTAAAAAGCAAAACCTTATCTAAATATAAATATACATATTATATACAAGAATTGCTTATTTAATATTATAAGTTTACATATTGACGGTGTCAAATTTTACGAACTACAAAAACACAAAGTGCAAAATACAAGACCAAGAATTAAACTGAAAACAAATTAAATTATAAGGAGTCAAAAGATACATTTCATTGAGAGATTATATTATTTTTATCATTTGGTAATTTGATATTTACCAATTTTAGTGTAAGTATATTTAATGCTAAATATATACAATTTTTAGAAATACTTCAGGTTTATAACAAATTTAATTTTAAGATTAAGTATTGTTGCCATCACAAATGACGTGAGAAATCTTCGTAGGTATGTGTTGTTATAATTATTTATTTTTTCATATCGATAACAAAAATACCCAGAATATTTTTGTAAGCATTAAGTATTTTCCCATTTTAAGCACAATCTATACATATTATAAAATTCTTATAATCTGTACATTAAATATTTTTTGGAAAATCTTATTGAAATAGACATTATTATCGATACGGAGGCCGAATCTGTAGTTTTTAAAAATTTTGTCTGTCTGTCTGTTACCACATCACGGAAAACCACTGGAAGGATTTTGATGAAATTTGGTATGATGATAGCTGGTTATCCGGGTCAACATATAGGATACTTTTTACCGCGGGAAAATATCTCATCTCTGAGAAATCTATACTAAACGTTACAACGTAAGTAGGGACGAACCCGAGCGAAGCGAGGGTGAATCGCTGTTTATGCAATAAAACGAAAACCACCAACATGTCAAAATAGGTAGGTATATCGGACATTTCACCATTATATGTAAGTAAAGAATAAATATATATTTAGTTTAATGTAATTATTTAATTCCACGATACAACACGATAACATTTACTAGTAATAATGACCAAATGTGTGAATCCCTAGTGATTCACATCAGAAATTACCAGTTTAGTAACATGACGGGCAATGGAGCAAATGAATAATGTTCTATTTTTGCGCAGGCGAAGAGGATGACGGAGACGCTACATATAAAATGTATTACTATAATATATAAATATTGGTGTAAGACTTTGACCTATTTCGATAAGTAAATTCAAACTTTATAGCCAATAAGAAATATCATCAATTTTCATCTATAATATACATACATAGGTACATAAGGAAGTTATAAAATAAAAATGGTTTATTTAAAAATCAATAAACTTGATCATTTGTTAATATCTATCTATCTATCGTTGTATGTCTATCGTTCTGTATTCAAGCTAAACGTTGGATCCATCCATTTTCTTGTTAGTCAATTAATTTAGGTACAAATAATACAATAAAAAAATTGTATGTACAAAATATTAGCACTTTGAAAGCAACTCTGTTTGTTACATTTTCAAGCTTAAACCGTCTATATTTCTAAGGGAATGTGCCATGTACATATATTGCATCATTAAGACAGACGTAGAGTACTATCTCCCCGTCCAGCTTACTACGCGAGCGGAACCATGGACACTGGACAGTAACTAGTTATCAATAAACATAGCTTTTGCAAACATACCTATATAACGTAATACTTTACATTGCGTCGACTACTTAACCTTAATCTATCCAGTATAATAAAATGATAGCTTATTTATGTTCTTGCATTACGTAAATTACATATATCACAGCGAAACTTGGCATTTTACACGTTTTCATTTGATAGACGTCCATCAAGAATCATAATTCAAGTGAACTTCAGAAACAGTCACGTTCATTGCAATTTTATTTATTTATCTTCGTATATTTAGTTACTTAATAAAGAATTTATTTAAATAATAAAAACTCAAAAAGGATTTTACTAAAATTTACATAAATATAAAAATATAGCACAGAATATTATGCCAGAAATCGCAGGTTCGACTCGTACCGAGGAAATATTTATAATGAAATTCTAGTGACGACAGTTCCTCGATCTACCTTATTATTGTATAAAAAGTATCCTTTATCAAAAAAATTACGTGATCAAATCGTATAAATTATATAATAGATCTATATTTTATGGTAATAACTTAGCTTTCGAAGCACTTCTTTTTATAGCGAGGAAAGAAAATCCGTCGGGACTTGAAAGTTAAAACGTAGCTAGCTAGTGATATGATACATAAAAATGAGAGTTACCTCCATAAAACTAATACACAGCTATCAATACTACACCCACTCTAAACACGTCACACGATCAGACTGTGTAGGCGGTTCATGAAACTGACCTACAATGACAAAGATAAATATGAAAGAAAGAAAGTTGGAAACTTTCAGTAAAAGATTCATGTGCTAACAACATGAAACTTTTTCAAATTTTTATTTATTTACCACAACTTACAGCAACTTAGCTTCGACGCAATATTATTTATTAATTTTCCTTTCAACCATGACAAAATTGAAAAATTACACAACAAAACACACTTATCATTTCGATAGAAATAAGGGCACACATCTGTCAAGGCTGACGATGTTTACGATTTTCGACACTCGCATCACGTCTAACTGGTCTATATTTACTTTAAAGATTCACTCTACGCATATAAGACACGTTATTGAGCTAAACATAGCTTTGGTTATTCAGCACGTGATTCATCCAAGAAGACAATACATGCTCTCATTGTTGTTTTCAATTTATTTTATTTATAATATAGATAATAAATGAGTAAATAGCCATTAAAGCATAATCAAACTTATATTGTTCTATTAAAGCACAATCTATACATATAATAAAATTCTAACTGAATCGAGTCGGAAAATCTTATTGAAATAGTCATTATTATCGATACAGAGGCCGAATTTATAGTTTTTAAAATGTTTGTCTGCCTTTTGGGGAATGCATCGTGAGAAAACCACTGAACAGATTTTGATGAAATTTAATATGATGATAGCTGGTTATCCGGGTCGACATATAGAATACTTTTTACTGCGGAAAAATATCTCATCTCTGCGAAATATACACTTAAACGTTAAAACATAACTAGCGACGAACACGAGTGAAACGAGGATGAGTCGCTAGTATTCACTATTTGGTAAATGTTATGGAATTAGTATTTTGTCACAAAGGAAATAAATTAACATCATGTCTTAATGATATTTTAACTAATTTGTACGCGAGAAGCTTCCATAAGCATATATAAAAGGAAACCACGCCGTTTTACCGAAATTCGCAAATATTACTCGAGTAGTAGCAACCACTCTTAACACAATGAATAATATGTACAAAGTGGCATTATTGTCTGGGCGCATTCTCAAAAGAGTCATTTAAAATGTTTATTATTATATCTTCCAAAAATATTTTATGATGAGTTGTGGGGCTTTGTTTCTCGCTGGATATTCTTTGAGATTTTAAATTCAAATTCTTTGTTCTGATTCCCCTTGGCTGATGAATTGACCTATGTTTCATTTTCGCCATAACAATTCGGGGCAAACACACAATGAAAACAGAAACGCAACGGGGAAAAAGTGGAATCCGTAT